GTTTAAAAAGTGTTGGGCTTCCTACGAATCCGCAAGAGCGCGCGGGATGAGATTTTGACAATTTTTTGTTGAAAAACCATTGGTTTCTTTGATGTTTTTATGTTAAAATCGCTGCGAACACTAAGGTTTTGGAAGGATTTCGTCTTGCGCGCGCGAATGTCCACTTTACCTTATTTTTTGCAAGGGATTCTTGAAATTTGATTATATTAGAACAAGAAATGTAATTTTCTATTGTTTTTTGCAAGGGAAAGCGGATTACAATAAAACAACCGGATCCTGTACACACCCTCTTTTCTGAGGCTTCCTCACGAAAATGATGAAAATGTAGCTGCGGCCTAGGCGGCGCAGGGGGGGCGCGCACCAGGGGGCCCAACAATAATTATTCTTTAGAATAAATAATGTTCAACACCCACCACCAACAACAACAACAACAACAACATCAACATCAACATCAACATCAACATCAACATCAACATCAACAACAACAACAACAACAACAACAACACCATTACCACCACCACCACCACCACCACCACCACCCACCACCACAATCACCACCACCACAATAAACCACCACCACCACCACAACCACCATAACCCACCACCACCACCAGAACCACTACCACCACCACAAACACCACGACAAACCACCACACCACCACCACCACCACCACCACCACCTTAACCCACCACCACCACAACTACCACCAACACCACCACCATAAGCCACCGTACCACCACCACCACAACCGCCACCACCACCACCACCGCCACATCCAACCACCACAACAACCACCACCACCACCAAACACACCACCACCGCCGCCGCCACCGCCGCCACAACCACCACCACCACCACAGCCCACCACCACCACCACTTCAGAGATGCCCCAAGAGACGCCCAAGAGGCGCCCAGGAGGCTGCACAAATGCCCTGCAGAGGCCTCCGAAAGACCTCCGACGGGACCCCAAGAGGCATCCATTAGGACTCTGACCCAAAACCAAGGCACGTTAGCGGAGCGTCGTCGTCGTCGTCACTGTCGTCGCCGTCATCCTCTTCGACGCTCCCCGCCGCCGCCGCCCGCCGCCGCAGGCGCCGGCGCCGGCCCAGATATGGAAGTCGTCGTCCCCGCCGCCGCCGCCAGCCGCCGCCGACGCAGGCGCCGGCCCGAGGAGAGGGAAAGAAGAGAAGTAGGGGAGGAGGGGAAGAGGAGAACCCCCCCTCCGTCACGGGGGGGGGAGGGGTTCGAACCCCCCCCCTCCATGCAGGGGGGGGGGTCGGGTTCCACCCCCCGTCCAAGCGACCACAAACCGCGATCTTTCAGACATAGCTACATCGATATATATATACACACACATGTGTGTGTGCATACTGGAACCGTCGCGCGCGCTGCGCGCGCTCACACTCTACTTGTCATGGAGCCAAGCGGGGCCATGTCCAGATGATCGGGCCCTTGGCTTGGGATCCCACGCGTTGGTGTCTGAAGTCGCACTGACGCTTGGTATTCGTGGCAGTCCTGGGGCCGTCCTGGGCGGTCCTGGGTACCTCTTGAGCTGTCTTTTTTGAAGGGTGGACGAGACCCCAAGGATGAACGCCTCACAGCTGGGCGCCAGTATCCTGCAGCGGCTCCCGTGGACCGCAGCACAGACATACTAGGGGATAGGACCCACGCAGCAGCCTCAAAACTGTGGCTTGAGTGGCAACCAGATCCTACCGCACAGCCACTGACAGTGGTGCAAGCTTGCACAAGCCATGCACAGAAGTCTCAGGAACCTCGTAGAACAGACACCCACTGAGAGTGGTGCTAATTGGAGCAAGCCTTGCTCAAAAGCCTAAGAAACCCTGGACAACGGACAGCCACGGAAAATGGTGCCGATTGGCGCGAGCTACGCACAGAAGTATCAGAAGCTCTGTACAACAGACAGCCACTGACAGTTGTGCGAAGTGGCACGAACACAGCACAGAAGTCTCAGAACCTACTGACGTTCCTTGAAACAGGAGGTCCTCTTTTTTAACGAATGCAGAACAAACGCGTGCCAGATGTCGCCATAGAGGCCCGGGCTTCTACGACCGATAATTCGGAGGCCCAATGACCGCGCCGATGCTATCAAAGAGGGGAACGCGCCGATCATACGCCCGCGAAGGCGTCGCTGCCTCCGTGCGATCATCTTCTCCCAGCAACCCTCCCACCGCAAACCCAGCGAGCTCGAGGTGCCTGACGTAGAAGTTGAAACACTGGGTCCCCTGCTGCAAATGCCCACGTCGGTGTCATTTCGCCCACGTCCTCTGCGTGGAAACGGAGACCGCCGGTCCGCTTCGCATCGACCCACGCCCCTGAGGTATTCAGCCCCTGGAAGTACACGTCCGCGCAGTGCCCACCCAGCTGTTGCGCGTCAGCCACTACACGAAGGAGGGCGTTCTCGACATGCTGGTTCCATGGAATATGAGTCAAGACCTGCTTGCTTGGCCTCATCAGGTCGAACACTGTTCTGCAAGTGCGGGTCGCCTGCGGCGGCCCCGGACCCGCCTCCAGAGACGCCCGCGGCGGGACCGACGGGAAGCGTCGGACTGGGCGCCGGGCTGGGCGTCGGGCTTGTCGTCGGGCTGGGCGTCAGGCTGAGCGTCGGATGCGGCGTCGAGTTCGGCGTCGGTGTCGGCGTCGGATTAAACGTCGGGCTGGGCGTCGGGCTGGGCGTCGGGAGCGGGGTCGGACTGGAGGTCGGGCTGCTTGTCGGGCTGCTCGTCGGACTGGGCGTCGGGGACGAGGTCGGGCTGCTCGTCGGGCTTCTCGTCGAAGCTGCGTCGCAAAGTGGCACGCCAGCCCTCATAGACATATAGACATACCATGTCTGGGGCTTGATGCGGACATAGCGAACTTCCCTTCCAATCGATGACAATCCCGTCACCTTCGCGTCGCCATCGCTGCGTCCCGCGAACGCGCTGTCGATGTCATCCCAAGACTGGCCATCCACCGAACCTGCCACCGTGTACGCGGTCACCCGTTGCGAGTGCACTGTTCTACCTTGGGTTACAACGCCAAATACCACCTGTGGACCTCCAAGATCATTCTGCATCCACTGTCCGACTGAGTTGGTCGCAGCGGACCAAGCTTGCGCCGAATCCAGCATGGACTGGGCGTGGCCAGTCCCCACCGCGTCATTGTTCCAAACGCTACTGCAATGTCGGGAGGATTCTGCCGAATTCCAAATCTGAAGAATACTACACGCCGTTCACTTTGCCACCTCTGAACCATTCAGCCCGACATCTGAACGAGATGCATTTCGGCGCCCACAACGGAAGCAAGCGCAGATGCCGTCGCAAATATCAAGATGGCTTCAAGCTGGCCTCAAGATGGCCCGAGAAGCTCCCGACAGCGCCCAACAGAGCTCCAAGAGAGCCTGCAGGAGAGCTCGAATAAGCCAAAACCATTGAGTTTCCGCCGTCCTTTTCAATGCTGCGTATGTGTCCACCTCCCCCTGCTTGCACGGCCGTGGGGCGCTGGATGTTATTATACCCCTGCGGTGACAGCTGCTCAGGGGGGCCGCTCAGTCTCCAAATGTTTCGCGGTCGCTGGACTCGCGCGGCGGGTTCGATCTGGGGACCCCCGAGGCCGTCCTTTTCACTGCTGCGTGCTGTTCACCTCCCCCTGCTTGCACGGCCGTGGGGCGCTGGAGGTAAGTCTCCCCCTTGCGGTGACAGCTGCACAGGGGGGCCGCTGAGTCTCCAATGCGTCGCGGTCGCTGGACTCGCGCGGCGGGCGCGGCTGGGGTTCCCGAGGCCGTCCGTCCTTTTCACTGCTGCGTGCTGCCCACCTCCCCCCTGCTTGCACGGCCGTGGGGCCCTGGAGGTGATTCTCCCCCTGCGGTGGCCGTTGCGCAGGGGGGCCGCCAATCCTACCGAGAGCGTCGGGACACGGGGGAGGTCGGCCTCTGTCCTCCCCGACCTGTGCATCCCGTCGCCTCCCACCCCTGGGCCCTCTCCTGGTTCTGCAAAGTCTATTGGTCCATGCAGGCCAGAGAAGGGTTTTCAAGGCACGCAACAGTGGCTTATGCCTTGTGCAGCCGACGGATGCCCTGTTGTTGGCGGCCGAGCCGAGGGTCGATCTGTGAGGGGAGGGGGCCGTAGTGGGCGCTCCGAAAGGACTCGCGAAGCCCCCTCCCCGAAGCGGTGCTCGCCGAGGCGAGGTCGCCCAATTCGTTGCACCTGCTGCTCGGTGCATTTTGCTTACAGCATTTCCCACAGATGCTGTAAGGAGTCGCCTGTTTGGCTGACGTGGTGAAGCCGTGGAGGTCAAAAAAAGCCCCAGAAACCTACAAGAGGGCCCCAAGACAGGCCAAGAGGGCACCAAGACGGTCCAGGAAGGTCCCCAAGACGGCCTCCGAAGGCCACCAGGAGACCCCCAAGCGGCTCTGAGAGGCAATCAGGAAGCCCCCAGCAAGCCCCCCAAAGGTCCCATCTTCCTGGTCCTCCTCCTCCTTTTCCATCCTTCGCATCCCCCTCTCTCTCGTCCTACTCAAAATATTCCCCCAAAGAGTTTCGACAACTATGCATTCCGAAGAGCGCGCTCTGCGCATGCCCGGGCAATCGGAGCTCCCTTGGTCTCCCTGACTGCCATAAAACGGCATGCTGAGTAGTTGCGCCCGGTGGAGGGCGCTCCAGGGGTGCCCAGCCAGCGCTTACAAAATGTTCGCCGCCAGCTCGCGGCAGTCAGCGCTGCCCTGCGATTAACGGCTGGGGAAAGACACGTGGTCCCATGGCTTGGCAAGAATTCGGCCCAACGGTTGGCCACCTTGGCGCTTCCAAGAGACGCAGGGGGGCGGCACTGGTTCGCCGTAGGCGTCTTCGATAAGAGAAAATCGCAAAAATGCCTGAACGTATCCGATAACAGCGCTCGAGCACGTTGGAGGTAAAGGGGGTCAGACAGACTTGAAACGGAGGGCCCCGCTGGGAGATCGCTTTCGGCTTCGGTTTGTGTCGCGCGTGCGGGCAAGGCGAAGCAGCGCGAGTTCGCTCCCTGACGAGGCCCAGACCACGAAAAAATGAGTCGCGCTGTCTGCGGCATGCTCCGGGTTATCCCGTGGTTGCCCCGATGTCCCCACGTTTGTCCCGTGGTTGTCTCGTGGATGTCCCGTGTTTGTCTCGTGGTTGCCCCGTGGTTGTTCCGTTGTTGCCTGGTGGTTGTCCCGTGAAGGTCGCGCGAATGTCCTGTGGTTGTCCCATGGTTGTCCCGTGGTTGCCGCGTGGCTGTCCCTCGCTTGTCCCGTGGTTGCCCAGTGGCTGCTCTGTGGTTGCCCCGTGACTGTCCCGTGGCTGTCCCGTGGTTTTCCCGCGATTGCCCCTGGTTGTCCCGCGGCTGTCCCCTGGTTGTCCTGGGACTGCCCCGTCTGTAGAGAGATAGAGAGAGAGATAGACAGTGAGACTGGATAGTGCGATGTATGGGCAGACATCTTGATGGTGAGATCACAGCATCTGCCGACCGTCGGCGTGTGTGAAAAGCTTTTCCGTTCCACTCGTCGCTGTTCCGTTCGATGCTTTCCCGTGTTCGGCTTCTCCGTTCGACGCCTCGCTCTTGCGATCGATACGTTCACGTCTTCTCCTCGTTTCCGCTTACGCCTCAAAGGTTGCTCCGATACCTCAAAGGCTCCTCCAATTGAATTCCACCCGCATCGTCCACGAGCAACGTCGCCATCGAGAAGAAAGAAAACCAAGGGGTAGGGCCCTGGGGTCCCAAGGGGGGTTCCGGGAGGGGTTCCCAGGGGTTGTGACCCACCCCACCAGCGGGGAGCAATCCTCCCTGAGAGAAGCATTCCCCTTCGATTTCTCACCTCCCAGACGCGTCGGAATCACTCCCTCTCCCACCCTCCTCTTCTCCTCCTCCTCCTCCTTCTCCTCCTCCTCCGCGTTTTCCTAGCGCTCAGGGTCGGCGGCGCGTGCC